AATTTTCTTCGTGAAGTAGTTAAAGTAATTGCAAAGATTTTGGTGGCAATTTTTTTTGGTGGCATTTTTTTTTCTGTCTCCTTACTTAGTTTTGTTTAGGGGGAAAAAAGAGCTGTGCATTTCTGAGTATTTTTAATCGTCCAGTAACGTGTTTGTGGCATGTCTCCTGTGACCACCTTAACAGTAAAAACTCCACCTTTGCAAATCATAGAAAATATCACTATATCTTTAAAAACAAAGAAAAAGTCTACTAATGTCCCAATTCCAATTTTTAACTTAATTTTGAGGAAAAGCCTGACAAGTTTGATTTCATATGCTGTCCATGTTTGCAGGATACCATAAATACTAGCAAATGGAATGTTTGCTTATTTTATTGGAATCATTCTGGTAACTTTGCCTGCTTTTCTGCTTCTCTTGCAAAATAAACTAGCTGAAATGTAAAAGAAGTCTTTAGGAATAGGATTTCCGCCCTCCTTCCCCCTGCCAAAATCCTGCTTGTTCCCCAGAACAGCAGGAGCGGACGGACTTGAGGGACAGTCGATGTGTACATGCACGCTTGCAACGGAAAATAATCCTCGTGGCCTGGAGTTACTGTCAGTGTAGGGCCTGCATGGGAAGCCATGGTTTTGACCCCGTAACAGACCTGGCTTTTCAGGGCTTGGAAAACTCTTCTGTATTAGCGTGTTTTTTAAACTGTGCTAAAGTTACAGTACATACATCGTATATTTCTGAGCTCAAATACTATTTTAAAGAGAGTATTATATGTTTGTACTAAACCCATGACTCTAACTTCATCATAGACAACATAGCTAAAGAAAGAATTTATCAAATAGTTAACTGTTTAGCTTTTAGAAAGCGTTTGCTGAATAATATAAAGGATTACGGCAAGGACTAAAAAGGGAGTAAAGTAGAAGTAAAGCATGATCTATTCTGGGAAATAAAAAAAATACACTCTTGTTTATGAACGCTATTAATGTTGAGTTAAATTTCAGCTTGAAACTACTTTAGGGAGCTTTGAGTTAGTTTTGTAGTCCTGATAGGTTATAGATAAATAAATAAAAATCTGCTGGGCATTTGCACAGTTTGGTCTTTAGGAAGATCAGCAAACAAATATTAATTTCTTTTCAGACATAGAAACCTGAATTGTAAAGACTCTTTTAAAGGTGATTGGGGTAAATACAACTTTAATTCTTAGTAAAATCTTGATAATTCTTAGTAATGTTCTGGTTAATTTTTAGTAATATCTTGATGCAAACACATGACTCAGAGGAAATGAAAATTCCATTTCCACTGACTCAAGGGACTCTGTGCAGTTAACTTACTGCCTGTGTGCCTACCTTTAAAACAGGGTTAATGTAAGGTGTGCATTTCTGGATGCGATGGTAGAGGCAGGAAATGCAACATGAATGAAGGCAGGCAGGAGTTGTGAGTATGATTTACTGTCTGTAAAATACCTTGAGGCTTTCAGAGGCAAGAAACTTAACAAATACGGAGTTCCAGTACTACTGTTGAGGGTTATAAGTTGTAAACAAATGTTGTACTTAGTTGGGATTGAAAATTTGAGTTCTTTATTTGCAGTGTCTTACTGACACTAAAGATGAGATCTTGATATGTCTTTTAAGAGACACATTTTGTATATAAATTCAGGTTATGACTTGACAAAAAAAAAAAACTGTGATGGAAATAAAGCTCTTCAAATACAGGTGTGTTGTCAGTTTGAAGAGACCTTTTCAGTGTTATTCTAGACTGAAAACAAAAGCTTTTCTTCACAAAGCAAAGAAAATTCAAAAAATTCTTGTCTGCCAACCATTTCGTAAAATCACAGAGAGTAAAGTTTCGAGTTACTGTGTCTTGAAAAGATTGTCAGGAAATGCTCAAGGAAAGGCAGTCTGATTGCCCCCTCCCCATTCTTCCCAAAACAGTGAAGTTGCGGTGTTTCTTGAGGTGAAAGATTTAATGTGTTACATACCTTTTCAGTGGGGAAAAATGAGTGCCGGCTGCAGTTCTTAATCTGGCAGCAGCATTGTTCATTAAGGAAACTCCCCCCACATAGGGATAAAACAACTCTCTCTGTAGGAAAGAACTCCAGAGTAGATCAGTAACTGGGATATATCTGATCTGAAAATTGGGAAATGGCTTTGACATAATAGGCTTATTAAAAATTTGGAAAGAATTGCGGATATGTGTATGACAATTACTTTGAACTGCAAGAGCTATGGAAAGCTTCTGTGTACCTCTCTGTATGAAGTCTGCCTCCTAAGTGCACCCCTTAAAATCAAAGACACTTGATTCTTCACAAAGATCTGTTTAAAACATTTCACGTGTTTTTCCTTCCCCAAGCTGAAGAAAGAAACCCAAAAATAAAGCACATTTTTTATTTCAGATTGTTTTAAATTTTTATTAATACCTTTCATTTTAATATCTGTGGAACACATCTGCTGCTCTCCTAGAGATGCTGCTTCTCAAGTGTTGCTGACTACAAATGACCTGAAGTCTTTTTTTTTTTTTTTAACGTGTCAAAGCAGTATCAATGTTTTATAACACAGGCAAAAGTGCCTTATACTAAGCGACAGTATTTTGCAGAGCAATAACTGATCCTGTTACTTAGTCATGTCCAGAATCTGGCCCTAAGCGAGAATTGGCCGCGATGCTGAATGAATTATTTGCTTTCTGGAAAATAGTTTTCCCATATAATCTCTGGGAAAATTTTACAGAAGAAAAAAACTTTGTAACTTGGTGCAAGACTTGCTCACAGTATAAAATTTGGTTTCATGGTTTGACAGTTTTATTTGAATTATTGCACCAAAGTCACTTTTCTTTCTCCCTGTGAAATTAATTGCTGACATAGTAGATGGGCATATCTCCGGTAGGCTTAGAACAATCTATAACAGCAGTGAATGCAGCACACAAAGTAGTACTGAAGTGGCCTCACTTGTGTTTTGGGTAGAGCATACCAAGAATTAAAAATAGAAATTTGTGATGGTGAATTCGTTTGTATTTTGAATTAGGCTTTGTTCTCATCTGACTTGACTATTAGTTTAATTTACTGGATAAATTCTTGGCCCTGACTAACGTTGACTTAGAGGTCTCTGAACGTAGTGTATTGATCTTTTCTGAACTCTCATGCTCCCACCGTTGCTCCTTATTTCAGATGTATCAGACTAGATCAACTTTCTGCTACTCTTTTCTCGTTACAGACACATTTATTTTTCAGTTGACCAACTGAAAGAATAATGTCCGTCCTTCACGTTTGAGCAAAAAATAAAACTGTCTTTTAATGTCTTTAGCCCTTTGTAAAGTTTCTAGAGCAGACTTTTATGAAAAGGCATGTGCACAGGAGGAAATCTTCATTTACTGTATTGCTTTGCTCTGTTTTCCCTAAAATGCTACTGGAAGCAGGGTAGGTTTTCTGGTAACTATCACACAGTGAAAGACTTGCTTCTTGAATGAGTATTGTTACGAGTATCAGATGTTACTGAATGTTGGAACTTGTTTTGGGGGGGAAGAAGAAATGTTTATTCCATTCGTACTTGTTTTACCTGGCATGAACATTGCTATTGGAATTCATCTTAAGTACAGTACGGCTGCTCCTATGTGGCTGATGTTTTTCAAGGAAATCATAGGCCTAAAAATAGTCTGCATAAACAACAGTAAGAGGTTTGTACTTTCAGTTCCAGGTTTTAGCAATATCTTGTTGTTATTTTCTAATTGTCAGTTTCCAAAATCCATTAAGCTGATTAGCAGAGTGTTTAAAAACAGAAGAAAAAAAAGAAAACCAAAAATCCATTTCTTGTGGAACATGGCATCAAATGTTACGTTTAGATAAATTCAGTACAGAAAGCGTGGGCCATCATAGTAATCCCCATTATATCTTTATGAACATGTTATGTTCTGAGCATTTTTCAGGCATCCTCCAACTTGTGAAATTGCCACATGATTCTGAAACTGCGGTCTTAGGGGAGAATATAATGCGCAGACACTCGTTCTAGTTGGAATTCATGATTGTTGTACATATTTAACAGCCTTTGTGTACTGAACAAAGAGCTTTACTACTTTTCCTTTGGATTAAAAAAAAAAATAAAATTACTTTAACAGCCTGGAAGAGATGAGGAAAAAAAATCCAGCTTGCAAATTACAGAAAACAATTTATCATCAGTTTTATCCTTCTATATCTGTCTCCACTTTTCATGATGGAAATTTCTTTCTACTTTGTCTCATGTTTTTAGTAGCATGTTTACTAAGACACATTTTGATGTGTTTAAAATTCTGTAATTCAGGCTAAACAAAAATTACTTTTCATTTGTCTCTGAAACAAGATGGTCATCTAGTTCCTGGTAAAAGGGCATTACACTGAAGCCGCTGTTAAAACATACAGTTATTTTTCCTCCTTCCCCTGCTCTTCAGTAGGTGTTTTAGAAAGTCAGTTGGGAAGCAGGCGCTGAAACTGGGGACTCAGGAGCCTTGCTGATCTTAGTGGGGGTTTGGTTTCTGATTTGTGAATCTGGGACGTGGCTACCTGGAACTTGCAATGAAATTGGTTTAGGGATTTCATTTATTAAAAGAATTACAGTGACGATAAATTTAAAAAAAGAATTCATCTTACTTTCAGGAAAATTATGTGTAGGCAATTTATTTCAGTCATTGCTTTACTGTTAGCAGTAGCAGATTATATTGTACAATTTATATGAATAAGTTACCTAAATTAGACTAATCGTGTGTGTGTGTTAGCAGAGGGAGCGGAGCAGGAGAAGGTTGGAATGAGATTACCAGACCCAATTAATAAAATTGTGGATTTGGCCCTCTGCTGGGTGGTGCTAGGAAATGCATGTTTTAAATACTAGCGCACGTATGTTGAGCAATTTAAGTGTATTCAGCATTTTGTGAATCTGAGTGCATTAAAATATAACAAATCTTATCTGGGGACCTGTCAGTTACTAAAGCATTAGATAGTTCGTCTAATTTGAGAATAAAAAGTTCCTCTTTTTCTTTCCTCTCCCCAGTTTTCTAGACAAGATTGACATAGTCAAACAAAATGAGTATACACCATCTGACCAGGTAAGGAAAGTTTCATTAAGAAATTACACAATTTGTCTGCCTGCTCTGTCTTTGAGGATAACAGTCCCATTAATTTTCTAGTTGCCATTTCTGGTACTAATACAGGTATCACAAAGTACTGTACATACTTAGTATTCCAGTAAAAATCACTTTGTCATTAGGATTGAGATTATGTTTATACATGTAAATGTACTGTGAAATTAAAATCTGCCTAGATTCAAGACTTGCATCATACTTCTGTGACACTAAAACTCAAATATCCATTTAAATGAGTAATTTAAATGTTTTGCTCTCCTTGTTGAATAACCGTCGTGCACTTTCTTTGATGCAGAATTGGTTGGTATCTTCTCAGCCCCACTGGCTCCCACTGTAAACCAGATTTTTGTAAAAATAACCTTGTTGGAAGATTATATTTTTATCAGCATAGGAATTGTAATTTTCATTTTGTTACAGATAATCTGAGGATCTTTTTAGGACCAAATCCCTAATCCAAAATCACATGTACATTCCTAACTTTCTGCCTATAAATAATGCAATTAGGCATCTAGTGTACTTTTATAAGATCAATAACCAAAAAGCATATTAACATCCCAAAACTTTTGCAGATAGTATTGATGAGGAGAAAGCAGTTTGTATCCTTTAAAGTTGTTCAAGAATAAATTAATCATTCATCTTTTTAAAAATCTGAGTTTTTTTGTAAATGAGCCTTTCTTATCACTGAAATCTATTTTCAAGAAACAAAATACTAAAAATATATGTTATTCTATTTGAAATTTGCAGCAACTAATCTTCAGACACAAAGCTTTAAAACAAGTATCAGTTTTATATATGGAGACTAGCTATGAGCCTACTGCAAATGTTACAATTTATCTGCTATTTAGACCCATTGTGAAGAACACCAAAACTTTAAGTCCTAAATTGTAAGACCTTTAGTTGAAAGCAAAGTGCTATTTTGTAGTTATTTTGTAGTATTATTTGGACTGTGTACTCAGTCTGCAGACTATGCAAATTAGCTCCTTTTAGATCAGCTACAGGCTAGGTACTGTATATGGCTGTCACTGCTTTGCAATACACAATAAATAAAAGCCAATACAGTTTGGTTTTAATAGGATTTTGTAGCGCTCACAACAATTACAATTGTTTGTAGCTCACAACTTCTGATTATAATCTTGATCTCTATGGGAAATTTCAAATTTTATCTTTGAAAAGCCCAATTCTTACAAGATTTAAGTGGTTGAGCTTCTGGTTCTTTGAAGGAAAAAAAAAGTAAAATTCTGACACCTAGATACTTCTTTTAATACCCAAGCACTGAACAGCAAGGGGAGGGATCTTTCTTCTGAGGTTAAGAATTATTTGCTGGTAGTTTAAAGATCCTGTTGCGTGCCACTGAAATCTGTGAATGCATCATCTAATCTCTAGGGATGGGTCTGTGCTGTTCTGAACACTTGCATTTGCTTTAAGTGGCCTGTAAATGTTTCCTATTCCAAGCTTGGCACTTACAACCTGCTTGTGAAAATGTATGTACTTTAACAGTTGAGCACACCCATATGTGTGCACACATGTTCAAGACCAAAACCTTAAATGCAGCTTCATAATGCTCTGTTCCCTGTTTTTGCAGTCCAGCATACGCGGTCAGCACTGGGTAAAGGGGTTTTATTTCTGTTGCTGGATATATGAAGAATTATGAAGTATCTGTGTTGAATCAGTGACTTTTCCTTTATGCTCTAGGATCTGCTCAGATGCAGAGTTTTGACATCAGGAATTTTTGAAACCAAGTTTCAGGTGGATAAAGTAAATTTTCTGAGGATATCCTTATTTTTTTTGTTTTTTTTTTTTTTTTTGTTTTGTTTTTTTAATACGATGCAGACAAATACCAGGGTATGCTGGAGGACAGTCTACCATCTAGTGATTGAGACTACTGTATTTCTCAAGTTGATGTTTAATAGAGAGCGAGTATTTTATGATTTTTTTAATTGAGTAGTCTGGCTTTAAAAAGAAATGCAAATTGATGTGCAATTTCCTGCTTTTATTTTAAATCACAAAGAACAAAATGTTTTAAATCTTTTTTTACTAAGGCGTTTTCTGCATATTTGATTCATTGCTAGTTTATGTAGTGACATATTTAACTAAAAACTTTGTACATATCTAAGTAACAGAAAATGCATGTTCTCCTTACTGTCCCAGGTTAGAAAGATTGCTTGACCCGAACAAAAACTGCTGAGGTTTAACCTGGTCTTGTTCACTTTAGATCTGTGATACTTGTTTCAGCAAATGACTTGTTGTAGGACCTTTTTAATGTCTTAGCTTGTAAGGGTGAAAATGAATCTGCAATGTACGTACGCCAGAATTACTTACCTTCGAGTGTAGGTGTAGTGAAAGTAAACATAATTAATATTTTGTGATGAAAGCTCTGCGTGCATATGTTGGTGGATTGTTACCTATTCAGGTTCTCTTAATCCTCAATTCATGTTAGCTTCTATGTCACAGAAGTCCTAGAATGTCTTGCATTTTCTGTTTGCATTGGGGAAAAAAAAGACCCAAACACAAAATGTATTCTGACTCTGTGTTTTTTTCTTAGTATGTTTGATGTTGGAGGGCAACGAGATGAACGCCGAAAATGGATCCAGTGTTTTAATGGTACGATTAGAATTTATGTTTGTTTTATAAAATAGTTCTCTGCAAAATTTTAATGCTCAATCTTAATTTTCTCACTGTGTGAAAGCCATCTTCTGTTCCATGTAGCTTACCATAACAGTCATACGGGATGGAATTTTTCTTAACATGTAAACTTTTATAACTGCATAGAATATCTTTAGGGAGAATGTAGGTGGAAAAGAATTCAAGTTTGATAACTTAACATAGCTTGTCCATTTTCTTCGACTTCCCTCTCTTTGTTTATTTAGGTTTTTTGGTGGTGGGTTTGTGCATTATTTGCCAGCTATGCGAGTGTTAAATTCCAAGCTATATTCTGTCTTCCAATTGGTGGTTTATATGTGTTTGTGCCTATACAAAATATACAATTGCAAGATAATTAATATATGTGTAAAATCAGAATATCGTATTTTTGCACATAATTGCAGCCACATTGCTATGTCATGGGTGCTTCTTTCCAAATTGGCGCTGACCCATTAACACAGTACAAGATTGTAGGGGACATCTGTCTTGTTAGACATAGTGTCGCTTACAAAATGTAATATACTGTAGCATCGTATAGTGTAGCCCCAAAATGCCCTTATCAAAGAACTTTATGATGGAGTTTATAAATCTGCACTTTTCTAGGGAGCCAGGCATATTAATATAATGTCTTGAAGAACAGCCCTAAGGGAAAGGCCCCTAATGGAAACAAATAAACACATACCCTCATTTAAGTAACCTGCATATAAGCTAGATTCCTTAGAATGCGAACATAACACCAGCCTAGATACGGGTAGGACCTGAAATGTCTGCAGGCATTTTGTAAGATCTGGAGTCTTAAGACTGATGTTGCCATCAGTTTAGTTCAGGTGATTATATTCTTAACTCCTACACAATTTAAATTAGGTAGTTTTGTGTGTATCCTGAAGTGTTACATGTACCTTCACTACAGCTGTTTATTTTACTCTTTATCTCTGTTTAGATGTGAAACCTTTCTCCATATAAGTTTTCTTTAAAGCTAGAGTTGGTGAAAACATTTTTGTCTCTTTCTTTGTTGTATGGACAAAATATTTATGAAGCTATGCAAAAGTCTATCTTTTTGTAGAAAAGTTATAATGGGATCCTACAGAACAGATAAAGTAGAATGCAACTTTATCGTATTTTGCTGCGGTTACTGTCATTCATGTATGTGTGGAACTACTGTGCAATATTTTCTTCTGTGCTATTAATAACTGATTTGTCTGGGATTTACCTCTGCTCTTTCCTCTTCCTGTTACCTCATGGTCTGACTCATCTCTTCTGCTGTTGACGTCTGAGGTAGATGAGCCTGGAAGTCAGTGTAAGGGGTCTGGAGCTGCACAGCCACACAGAAACACAGAGATGTGGATTCTGAGGTCCTGGGAGTATCTCCTAGGAAGGAGACAGGGGGCTCTAAGCAGCATAGTATGCTATAGAAGGACTAGAGCAATGAACCACGAATTCAGAGCAATCTACTATTTTTATTATTACTACTCAGATCAAGTGTGCCATTTGTCCTGAGGTCTTCCCCCAAGGGCCTTCCTGCCTTATTTTGATAGCTCAGGGTTGCTTTCTAAATTTCTGTACACTTTTCTTCACTTGCTCTCTCTTGCCTCTGTTCCTTTCTTTTCTACATTTTCTGTCATTCTGTCAGCTTCTGTTCTGTGGCCTGCCCTTTCTATCTTCAATGGTTTCTTCACTTTCTTTTTTCATTTCTGGTACTTAGAAAGCTGTCAGCCATAGCATTCCAGCGTGTACTTTTCATGAGGCTGAAAGTCTGGCAGCTTTTTATTGAACTTCGGGGTTGCTGGATATTTCTCCTGAAGTTTGGTATTAACTAACGGGTATTTCTTGATTTAGATGTGACTGCTATCATATTTGTGGTGGCGAGCAGTAGCTACAACATGGTTATACGAGAGGACAATCAGACCAATCGGCTTCAAGAAGCACTAAACCTCTTCAAGAGTATCTGGAACAACAGGTCTGTGAATTGAAGTTTCATTGTTCGTGTCACATAAATTAGTAATCCTATCTTACACTGTAGTCAAGACTTGTGTACTGGGCCTGGCTAGGACATAGTTAATTTTCTTCATAGCAGCTCATATGGTGCCATGTTTTAGATTTTGACTGAGACAGTACTGATAACACACTAATGTTGTAGCTGTTGCTGAACAGTGTTTGCAGAGCATCAAGGCCGCCTCTGTTTCTCATGCTGCCCTCCCAGTGAATAGATTGGGGATGCACAGTGGGTTGGGAGGGGACGCAAGCAGGCAGTGACCCAAACTAACCGAAGAGGTATTCTGTACCGTTATAATGTCAGGCTCAGGAATAACAGGGAAAAGAGGAGGGGTTTAGGAAGGTTAGCCATCTTGCTGGGTATTGGTCTACCCACGGGAGGTAGTGAGTGATTGCCTTTGCATCCCTTGTTTTGTTTTGTTCTCTTCTGTCTTCCACTTATCCTTCACTTATTAAACAATTATTATTTATATTTTCTTATCTCGACCCCCAAATTTTCTTGCTTTTATTCTTCCTTTCCTCTTTCTCTGACCCACTGAGGGGGAAAGTGAGTGAGCAGCTGTGTGATGCGTTGCTGCCCACCAGGGTTAACCCACAACGGCAGTGTAGCCTGTGTTACTTGCTTCTCACAGCACAGTCCAAGCTAGTCTTTGATCACAACTGCCTACTTGTTACAGTAATGTCTAATACAGTCATCTAATTGAAGAAAACTCTGGAGAGTTACAAATTGGTAGTTGCCATATTGAGGCTGAAGTAATTAAAGCGGTGACAGAGTAACACACTGAAAAGTGGATATGCTCACCTATTTGATGTATTTGGATTAGCAAGAGAAAGTGGGCAACTTTCATTGCCCATGTTAGAAGCAGACGAACCGAGCTGAGGGTGTGCACACCCAGAATTACATCATTGGATTCCAGTATAAAATGAACCTTTCAAAATTATTATAGTGTGTCATGACTGTTGTCTCCCGAACTTTTTGCTGTATGATCCTAGCTGTGCCTTCTCAGAGTGTTTGATTTCAATTTTGTACAGGTGGCTACGGACCATTTCAGTAATTCTTTTCCTGAATAAACAAGATTTGCTAGCAGAGAAAGTTTTGGCAGGGAAATCTAAAATTGAAGACTACTTTCCAGAATTTGCTCGCTACACTACACCAGATGATGGTAAGATTTTTAAGTTTTATTAGCAGTTCATCATTTCCTTGTTAATCCCGTTTGTAATGTTTTTGGTAATTTCAGGTAAGACTTGAAAACTCTTAAGTAGATGTAACATTCATTGTCTTTCAGCCAAATTGTAATGTTAAATTATATTTATAATTTCATCATGCCAAAATCATGTTACTTTGCTGGTATAGACCACAGTTCAGCTTGTCACTAATATGTCCTCTGGACTCCACCTTGTCATATCTGTGGTCATTTCTCTGGCCTGCCAAATGCCTGGTACTATGGACCCTGTAATATTCCTTTGTTCTCCTGAAATCTTGCTGGTTTAAGTAATATGGTTTGTCTTATCTGTCTTATAGTCAGTTTTGCAAAGTATGTTTCTATCATATGTGAGCAGAAAACAGAGCAAGTTATGATTTTAGTCACTATCATGAAAAAGCATCTGTTTTAATGAGATACTTACTTTATTATTAATCAGCAACACCAGAGCCTGGTGAGGATCCCAGAGTTACAAGGGCCAAGTATTTTATTAGAGACGAGTTTCTTGTAAGTATGTCCTTTCTTTCAGTATTTCTTAAGTGATTCTTCTCAAATATAAACTCTTATGCACCTTCTACTATTACAGAATGCTGTCACTTTTTGTGTTGTTTATATTTAACATCTGCACTGCATTCAAACACTGTTACGTTTAAGAGCTTTACTGCTGTGTGTTAGCTGCTCTTTGGATATTTGTATGTTGACACAGTACGTAATTAAATAGCAAAAAAATTGGTGACAATTAAGAAGCCTCAAATAGAATGCATCGTCTGTAAAATATTAATGTTCTTCTCATATTATCTTTCCCATTACTGTTCAGCTGAAGCTATAATAGACATAGATTTTAAAAAAATATTAGTACAATTATTTGTAATGGTGAGCATAGCAATCCAATTGTCAACTCAATTTAAAATGGAGCAAAACAAAATTTTGAGGGCGGCTTTCTGTAAGTGTAAAGCAAGGATAACAGCCTTGTACAAGGAGGCAAAACCTCACTTTCCTCATGGACAAATTGACTAGGAGTTGTGTGGCTAAATTCACCAAAGCTGCATATAAATAATAGTACTTCCTTGAGTTCTCATTCAACTCTGAAATTCAGTATGCAGTGTCCTTTTCACCGTTTGATTCTGATCATTTTAAATCTCATGTTTTAGGTGAGAGAGTGAAAAATTGTGGGCATTTTGCCACTGAGGTTACACCCTTTGAAAACACAACTCACGCATACTGATCTTAACCTTCATTCATCTGAGTTTTGAAAACATGGGGGTTTTTCCCTAGTCAGTTTTATTTTAACCCGATATCTCTCTCTTACTTTTAACAGAGAATCAGCACAGCAAGTGGAGATGGAAGGCACTATTGCTATCCCCACTTCACATGTGCAGTGGATACAGAGAACATCCGGAGGGTTTTCAATGACTGTCGGGACATTATTCAGCGCATGCACCTTCGCCAATACGAGTTGTTGTGATGGAGAGCACTTTTTTTTCTGTGTTTTGGACTCCTTATTCCTTATTAAAAAAAAAGAAAAAAAAACACCCTTGCCCACATAGGGTGGAAGAGAACTGTTTGAATCTCCCATTGATTTGCACCCCTCAACTTTTTCTCCTTGCTGGACAATAGCAGCACTTCTAAGCTTGCTTCTGTACCCCTCGGACAGTTTGAGATGGCCCCTAACACTTAAAAGGCCATTTCCATGAGGATTCCCTAACACTGTTATTAACAAAAAAGAAAAAAAAAAAAAAGAAATAAAAACTAATTAATTAAAAGCCCTGATGTGGAGCATCTGAAAGAATTTGGGATAAAAAAATTAAAACAAAAATTGGGGAGAGAAAACTTTAGGTAATTTAGCACTGTTGTGGGCGTAATCATATAACCCGTGATCTCCACTTTGTATCATTCACTGCATCAGACTAAAGAAGGTGCCAAGTCACAGACCGAGTTTGAAGACAGACACTTGAGTTTGGTTCTCTGACTGTAATGTGGCTTTGAACGGAAATACTGACAATTCTACAACAGACCTAGACAGTGCAAAAACCAACCGCTACCTTTCAGAAGGGTATTTTTAAAACCAGTCTTGGTGGTCTAAAGACAACCATGGACCTTTATGAATTGAACTGCGTATGGCCTGTGATTGCAGAAAGAGTTAACCACACACTGTTTTCAGTTTGTCCACTGATGATCCCGTCTGCTATAAAAATCATTATCTGGACTGTAGTCCTCACAGTCTTTCCCTTCTTTTTCTTCTTCCCTCCCCTCATTTTTTATTTTACTGCTGGATTATTATTCTTGTACAGACTGTAAAATGTATTATTTTGTACAACTTTATTGAAAAAAAATAACTTGTAGAAGATCTTTGTGCCTTGATTATGGCTGTACCTGTACAATGAGCTAAGATGTAAGTATGTTTGATTGCGCTGTACAGCTTTGTCAACCCTATCTGCAGCATTAGCTCAAGGTAGGGAAAATTTATCTGTAGTTTAGTTTTTCTGGTTTATAAAAGAAGGAAAAATACTGTTTAGTAAAAAAAGAAAAAAAAGAAAAAAAAAGAAAAAAAATGAAAAAAGTACAAATTGTGCAAACTTAACCACTTTAAAAGTGAGGTCTTCAACAAGTGACCAGATGTTGCAGCATCATGCTTTTTAATTTTTAGCTTTAATTCATTTAAATCTCTATCCAAATGCAAAACATGGCTTGTTTCTACATAAACCAAATTTTGCTACAAATTATAAATGTTAGTCTTTGGTCATTCATAGTCCTTTTTGCTAAAGACAAAACCAGAACAATAACAGACACATAGGGCATCATGCAGGTCTGGTGACCATCTCTAGACTGGGCCAAATACCCCGCCAACCTCCACTTTTGCTGTGTGGGCATACTACTACCAGAATGACAAGGTGTGCACTGCCCTTGGATTTGGCCACTGAATTCCGGTTTCAAATGACATTTTTATTTCTCTTTTAATAAAGAGATACTTTAGAACCTTTTTGTTTTATATTAACTATATAAGTAGCTTAAAGTGAAGATGTGTGGATTTTTTCTTAAACTTGAATAATTTATGCAAATTATATGCTTAGAACAACATGTGGTACAGTAAAAAGAAAAAGAGCAAAAATCACTGTAGCAATAAGAGAGCATGTAATTTTAGTAACTACTACACTGCTTTATATTTTATACCTAGGTGTTTTATGTCTCTGTGAGTGTGTTACTTTTTCATGTGTCTAAACCTACGTGTACAATTTGTACAGAGTCAGAAATTACAGCTGTAATAACACATCTAGAACAGTGTTAGCCTATATTACTCAAACACCCCTGTTCCCCCTTCATTTACCACCCCTAAACTGATCTGGATCTTACTGCAGTGACTTTAAAAGGAAAACGAAAGAAAACAAAAAACGAACACCAAAATACTTGCCTCTCTGCCTTTCACACTAGCTTCCCTCCACCCAAGAGACTGTGTTAACTTTTTATTTTTCTTTTTTGGAAAAGGTTGAGTTTAAATTAAAATTAGGGTGTGGTCAGTGATGTCTGTGCAGCTAGATTTGCTTCAGGTATCAGATGCCTTTTTAATATCAAGAATTGCAGCTGTTCAGAATGGTGAATTTTCATTGCTTTTGTGGCTAAACTTTTAAATGAAAATCAATCACCTAGTCCATTTTCATGTAAAGAGCAGGGACACGATGGAGTTGCTGCCCCACCTCTCATAATTCAAAATTACTAGTGATCTTCCAGAAGACACTAAATTGTCTAAAAGTTTTAGCTGCAGTTGCTACTGATATTTTAAAAATTATCTTTCCCCTTCACAGGTGTAGAAGGTTGCCGCCTGAACTTTGTAGAACTGTATGAGAACATGACCGAAAATAGTCCCCTGCAACTTCAGAATGTATCCAGTGCCTGTAGGTCAAGGGCTGGTATTTCCACTAAATAAAAATGGGACACACATAGTGGAAAGGAATTCATTGTGAGCCTTAATTTTAGTTACGGGAGCCAAAATCTTTAATTTAGTGCCAACCCTTATCTTTTTAAGCCTAGGAAGAGTTGGTGTAAACACCAAATTTATAAATGGGGAAAACCTGTAGTGGTGCAAGGAATGTAATCTCTCATCTGAGAGAAACAAAGCACCTCCATTTAAAAAAAAAAAAAAAAAAAAAAAGCTTCTTCCTCTGATAATGAGAAGGATACATGATAACAATGAGGTATGTAAGACAGCAACAGTTTAAGAAACCTAAAGCTTTATATGAACAGAAATGTTTAGGGGATGCTTTATTTTTTCTTAAGTGAGGAGAAAGGCAATTGTTTTGAATATGGTTGAGTTGCACAAGTATGGAGTGTGTGTGTGTCTTAATGTCTCAGTATTGCCTTTGTTAGTCTCTTTATTAGTCCATGCAGTTTGGTGGCCTGGTAAATGCAAGTCTTATTTTTAACAGCTTTTTTTTTTTTAAAATACAAAACCATAAAGCTTTAATGCTTGCTATTTAATAAGTAACTGTGTTTTCTTCTGTCTCTAATTTAGTGGCCATAATTTGCAGTTAATTGAACCATTCCAACCTAATGCTTACCCATATTTCCTAGTTTTGTTTTATTTATTTATTTGAACTTCTTGTTTTCATGATTGAGGACTTTTACTTCTGTCTCATTCATTTGTTTGGAACCTTCTGACCTGACAGCCAAAATTTAACTCATTCTACTCAGTATTCATCGTGATGCTGAAGTGTAAGATACCTGCAAATGTAAACACTACCACTTTTACTAATAAAAGCAAATACAGTGTTTTAGGGCACATTTGCATCGCTGTAGTTGAGGTTGTGTCAGTATTTCCATTGTAAACCCATAGAGGGTCTATATCTTGGCACTAAATTGCCCTAAGCTAAATTTTTGCCATACAAGGCTTCTGCTCAAGCATCATTTGGTGGGTTGGTTTTTAAACAGTTTCCAACACAAACTCTTGTTTCTCTTTTAAGTTACACAACTGTTTTGTTGGATGGGGGTTGGTTTAAAAAGAAAACAACAAAAACAGACCTGGTTCAAGATGGTTTTTGGCACTTCTGTAACTCAGAAATTGTTTTGATTTTAAAACATAACCTTTGACAAGCCAGTAACTTACAATATGGTCTGATCACTTTGGGTATTTTGTAAAAATAATAATAAATTGTAGAGATGTTGTGGTTTCAAAATCAGCTACTGTGCATTTGCAGTAACTTCTTTCAACCCAAGACCTGTTAGTAATTTGTACATCAGTACACATATTCAGCAGCCAGTGTGATGCAGCAGAATAGTGATAACTCCTGAAGGGTTATTTTTTTTTTTAATAATGTGGAGAGGTAAATCCACTACAGACTGAAAAAAAGATTCAGCTGCTTCTGAAAGCATCAAAACCTGCTCTCTCAGAGGCTGAAACTGGAGCTCTGTAAGTTGTTAGGAGCAGACTTTGATGCAAAAGCATATGAAGGCAGGCTGGATCAGTTGTCATAGATGGAAGGCCTGAGGGCTTACCTTCATCTATCTAAAAACTGTTTTGAATCATGGCATCAAGGACAGGATTTAATTTACAGGATGTCTTTAACTCCAGAGGAACTGAAGCTAATTCTGTTCAGTGTGTTGCACATAATTGATTCCTGCAGGATAATTTTCTTTTGCCGGAAAATCTATGCACATAAATACTAAATGTTCATCATTTTAGAATCTGAGCACCTTGTAATTAGGTGTGGCACAATATTCCTGTAAATTATGTAGGAAGTTTTGTATTATGTCCTGTTTTCCAATGTCGAAAATTATGTACTGGGAAAAACAAAAGATGTAAACATGATTACACAGGAAGCTGACCACAGATACAGAGATAGACCCCATGACAGCTGAGTACCAGTCCAGTGCCTTAGTGATAATACCGTTGGTGATTGGTGCTATACAAATGTTTTAAGATTGATAAAGTAGTTATAAGTTATAAAATTATGTAACTTATTCTGGAAGAGAATTAAGTTCTCTTCTTTCTCCACCTGTATCTAATATGCTGTGTATATTTCTAACAATGCTGGCACTCGTAAGACCTCTTCAATGGAAGCAGATGATAAAATTCCTACTAACTGTAAGGAGCAGGCTCAGGGCCTTAGATTATGATCACTGGAAATCACACACAGGATCAGGTTCTCATCCCTAAAATACATGTTGAGTTTGTGTAACAGTAAAAATATTTGCAAGCGAACATCTGTTTGCAGTCCAAAACCAAAACTGTACCCTTCTTCCTCAGCTTGATATTTCTGAAAATTCATCCATTGGGAAAAAGTCTTTCTGTTCTGTGACAAACTTTGAAGTGTCTTTGTAAATAAAATAAGCTATAAGGGGGATTTCTGGAACTGCTGATGAAAGCCGTTACACTGAAAAATCTAGTGACTGACAAGACAGAAATTTCAAGAGTGAACCTATTTTAATCCTGGCAGATAGCTTAAATACTGTGAGTGGATGTGTTTCAGTTGCTAGGTAGGTAAACTGCTTTAGAGTATTTTATTGTATTGCAGGGATAGTTAAAATTTCAGCCATGAGTACTGGCTTCATAATTAATTGTTTTCAATCCTGATTCTCATCTTATTAAAAGTTAAAACTGCTTTTTACCCTGTCTACTTTTAATGTGCTGAGCAAAATGGGTGCAGTTTAAAGCAGAAGTCTACTTGGAAAAGCAACTTGGGAGGAGGTGGGGAGGCAAACTAACCTCTCACTGCATTAAACATAATAATGTGGGTTTGTTTTTTTTTTTCCCCTAACTTCTGGGTG